TCACTGTCCCAAGCAATGCCAGGACTTCCGCCTCCCCAAATCATTTCACCATCCTTCACCTTTCCTGGGGAAAACTCTTTTCATACCAGCTCTGGTTTTGCTGCCACCTTGCTTTTTTTCTCTCTGTGCATCTGCTTTTCCTGTGGCTGAACTGACTTTCCCCAACCCTCCTTACCTTTGAAACCTCTCCCTACCTACCCCCTTATTTATACTCATCCCTCATGCAGAAATCAAATGCTGCCCCTATACACAGACTCAGGCACACACACACACACACACACACACACACACACACACACACGGCCTTCTGGAAGCCTTTGAAATTCAGTGCCTCAGTTTCTCCTTATACAGAGTGGACAGTGGTCCATCCAGTGCCAGACCTTAGATGCATTTTGTGGTGGGGGAGGGGACGGAGGGAGTGGCCTGACACAGGAGAAACAAGGCTGGGAGAACAAAGAGCTGAAAATAGCACCTTTATGTAAGCAAGGAGCTGGAGGCAGAAACTGGGATGACTTGGGGAGGGTGGTACGGTGTGCGGAGGAGCATTACTTTGCTGAGGTGGCGTTGGTGATACCCAAAGCTGGCATTGCCTGTTCTCGGTACCTGGGTGGAAGTCAGCACAAGGATAGATCCTGGTCACTCATTTCCCGTTTCCACTTTCCCATCTCCATTTGCTCTGAGGCAGATATGTGAGAATCTGGACCTTGCTGTACCCAGTCAGATATACGGGAGGGACTGTCCTGCACCCCAAAAGCCTTGTGGAGGTTGGAGACCGAGACAGTGGGGAGGAACTTAAAGAACTCTAGACTTGGATGGGTGGCTTTGGACCTCTCTGAGCCTCATTCTGGGCTATAGAACAGAGGGGATTCTCACGCATCAGCCCTTCGGGTGTGGAGAAAGCCGCAGGCAGCTGGCATTGGGATGCAGTATCCAGGACACCCAGGCATACCCTGTGGCCTCGACCTCAAAGCCTGTCCTTAGGGTTCTGCTCTATTCCTTGCCTGGGCTTGTTGCAGCTATTTCAGGTGTACAGGGAACATGCCTGGGAGACTTGGGGCTGCAGAGTGTCTGGATCTGGCAGACGGAACCCAGCTGTGCTGCTCTGCGCTCCAGCCAGGAGCCTACGGTATGCGGTATGCTCCACTTCTGCCCTTGCCCATCTGAAACACTGGTGCTCTGTCCACTTCCAGGTGGGATGACAGGTTACTATAGAATGGCTGTCCTATTGAGGGTCACTGTTGCTCTGATAAAAACACCACGATCAAAAGCTGGTGAGGAAAGGGTTTATCTGGCGTATGCTCTACATCCTTAGCCCATCACCGAAGGAACTCAAAACCTGAAGGCAGGAGCTGATGTGGAGGCCATGGAGGGGTGCTGCTTACTGACTTTGCCAACCTGCTTTCCTACAAACCCCAAGACCACCAGCCCAGGGATGGTACCACCTACAATGGGCTGGTCCTTCCCCCCTCCCCCATCAAACACTAATTAAGAAAATGCCCTACAGGCTTGCCTACAGTCCAATCTTATAGAGGCATTTTCTCAATTGGTTTCCTTCTCTCACATGACTCTTAGACTGTGTCAAGTTGACATAAAATTAGCCAGGACAATGGCCATGTATCCTTGGGCCTGTCACATTCCTCTAGATGTATAATCACAGGGGAGATGACAGACAATGGGGGAGAGCCATGGTGCTTGCCTCAGGGTCATGGGAAATTGCATAAGGAAGGTAGGAAAAGAGCCAAGCACCTGATACTCACCTGGCCTCCATGACCCTCAGAACCTTCCCACCTCACCCCCTAAATCATAGTCAGTGTTTGCTGAATGACTAATGATGCCCCAGACTCCCAGTCTTGCTTGCGGTCATCTCCCCCTCCTCTCCCAGAATCCCCTGCAGCAGGTGATATGGGCTGTATATGCCTATAGCCAAGGCTTCTTTTGGCCTTGGAGTAGACACCATGGATTTTCAGAATTCTGTGTCTCCTACTGAGGCTAGAGCTTGGCTGTGGAATTCTGGGAAGAACCTGCCTGGAAAAACTGGCCTCGCCACTCCCCTCAGCCAGGAGGCCATCTCTAATGCCCATCCCCCCGGGGTGTTTCCAGACAGCACCATGTTGATGACCCCTCCCTTTGAGGGGCTCGCCCACAAGGGCCACAGTATACTTGGTAGACCTTCCACTGTGGGGGAAGTTTGCAAGGCTTCCTGGATTTCTAATGAGGAAAACCTTCCAAGGTATAGGGCCAGGCCCTATGGGAAGAGCCATCTCGGTTAGTGGATTAACTGCATGACATGGTCAGCTACCCGGAGAGTTTTATGACTTCCCTATTGTCACACAGCCATAAGCAGCAGAGCTGGATCTGAGCTCAGGAAAACCTCAGGGGTGGCCTGTGAAGAGGACTCAGCATCCTGTCCACTGTGGCTTCATCACCGACCTTTGCAAACACATGTCCTCTGTCACCCCGGAACACCCGCAGCTTCTGAGGTTCAACTCCCAGCATGCTCAGCCCCTGCCCCGGCAGCTAAAACAAGCAATCCATTCACTCTTAGACTCATCCGTTTATTTAGACCCAGCAGCCACGGTTCTGAGCATGGAAGGTGCAGTGGCCTGAGTCTTGCCCTAGTTTATACCCAGAAGGAAGAGGAGATAATACAGGCGCATGTGACCTGTGTATAGAAAAGTGGGCCAGGTCAGGATAGATGAGCAGTGCTATCTCTTGTGCCCATGGCGACGGCTGGCCTGGGAGTCCTCAGTGATGAGAACCGAAGGAAAGGTGGAAGTGAATCAGAATGGTGCATGTGTCAGAACAGCTAGTGCAAAGGCCCTGGGGCAGGCGTGGTTGCTGTTAGACCAGAGAAACAGCAAGAAAGAGCCCGGTCGTGTAGCCAACAGTGAGTCTGGGGGGCTTGGAATGTCTCCCAAGTGACATGTGGAAGCTCCGGGGCCTTGCTTGGGTGGAGCATGTACTTGGGTTCTTTTCTGAGGACTGTCTGGCTGCTGAGTGGGGAGCAGAGATGAGTGAGAGAAGAGGAAAATGGGCAAGGGGAGGGGTGGCTTGCTCAGGTAGACCCCATGCCGGAGGTGACCCGGGAGCCATCAGAGCGTGTCTTAGCCCGGCTAAGAAATTGGCTGATGGAAAGAGCAAGCTGCGCTGCCTGCAGTGCTCCCTCTTGGCAGAAGGGATGAGCAAATGGAATCTTCGTGGAAAGCAAACTTGACCTCATACCGGACAACCCACTGCCCCCAGGCGACCAAGAGCTGGCAGGAAATACTCAGGCATTCTCTGTGTTATTCCGCGTTTAAGCACACACCATTCCCAGTGTCTGATACATGGCTTCCTGCTCACAGAGGCAGTGTCCATCCCTGACCCATCTAGGAAACCTTGCTTTGTTTCTCTCCCTCGGTGTACACATGCTGATAGCCATGTGATGCCCTCCGAGGTCATCCTCCCCCGCCCGGCTAACAACACACACACACACACACACACACACACACACACGCATCCAGTCAAGGTGCTGCCTCTCCTTCTGCTGCTAGCCCTAGCTAGCTGCTGGCCCAGAGCCTGGGGGTTATTCATTCGTTATTAATGGGTCACTGGAGACTTCAGCCAGGTCTAGGTGCCTGCATCAGCCAGCATTGTCCATGGAAGCAACCTACAGGATTGCTCTAGAACACAGGAGGATTCATGAGGGCGACACTCGGGAGACCTTGGCAGCTGGGAAGCCCCAAGACTTCCGACTGCAGGCTGGAGGCCCCAGACCTCTGTTTTCTCCAGCTCAGCTTGAGAAGCAGCCCTGCTGCGCAAGGGCAGGTGAAGGTCTTGGCGAGACTCAGCACTGGACTGCTCTTGCCTGGACCTGGGCTCAGCCATTACATTACAAAAGGAAAAGTAGAGTGGGAATCCCTTGAAGTCACTCTTCCTCCACTGTGGCGTTCCTCTGGGGCTGTGGTGTGGACTGTGCCTGCATAGCGGAGATAACATTTGTGGCTGATTTCTTCCAGGAACATCCCACAGGCACAGAGAACTAACACCTACTAGCTGTTTATGCATCCCCTAATCTAGCCAAGGGAACACAGGTCCATTCTGGTTGATAATCTGGAGGGAGAAGGAGATGATGGCCTCCCGAAGCTCCCCATTCCCCCACTTCCGGAGAACCCAGCTCAGAAGCACACACTTTGCTGGTCCAGAGAAAGCCTTTGGCGTCATAAAGTCACTTAAAGGAGTGTGGACTAGGGATGGAGTGAGGCTCTGCAAACAGGGCCCAGGGCTAAGAGATCACACTGGGTGGTTCACAACGGCTGTAACTCCAGCTCTAGCGAATTTGACTCCTCTTTAGGTCTCCACATGCACACCACACTCACAGAGACAGACACAGATGTTTGCACGCACACGGTGTGGAGTAAGGAGGAGATGAATGTTTTGTCATATGGGATCCACTTTTGCATTAAGTTCCCCCTTTGGGGTTGGAGCCATAGAACAGCACTCTTTCCTTACACACACCTCTGTGCCTGTTGTGTGCCCCGCCCCCCAGCATTCTGTCTGCCACTGGATGAAGGTACTAAACCTGTTGAGCACAACACTTACTGTTCAAGTCTCAGACAGCATCTCCAAGTAGTTCAAGGGAGGTCTGAAAATGATCAGGAGGTCACAAAGAATTGACTTCACGGTTTAGAATGTAGCTTAGTTGATGAGAGTGGAAAGACCTGATTCAATCCCAGCATCATGTCCACCCGACGTAAGGAGAATCAGTTCACAGTCTTCCTAGGACACACAGCAAGTTTAAAATGAGGCATGGACTCCATTGCATCCTGCCTGACAAATATTAATAAAGAAAACTTCAAAGTGACTAATAGAAAAAGTCACAGCATTGCTTTGAATGGGGTCTGCCGGGGTAACCTCAGCCATCGGAAGGAGTCACAAGACCTTAGGTTCCGTGGACCAGAAAACAGGTGGACTCTCCTCCTGGCTCTTGCCTACTCAGCTTGTCTCTTGTCCATTTCTAGAATACGTTAGACCTGGAGGGAAGCGGCGAGACCACCCAAGGCAACGTTAACACCCTGCCGGACGTGTCTGTGGTAAGACCTGTTTGGTTATACTCCCAGCTTTGCTCACGGACTCCTGGGCTCTCCTGGGGATAGCCACAGAAAGAGGACACAGGGTGGGTGGGAGTGTAGAGTCTCTGCCCGCCAACCCAGCTGGTTGCCTGAATTCTAGTCCCACCTCCCTGTTGCCTATTTAGCCCTTCTTTAATATAGAGATGAAATCGCTGCACCTCACTCATAGCTGGGGTCAGAGTGAGTCGGGTGACTTAGTCAAAGCATTGAGACAGTGTCTACAAGGCTGTCAGAGCTTTGCAAGTGTGGATGCTGACCCAAGGAAAGGGGTTGGGAGCACTGCATCTCAGGCACCTTGTTAGCACATGCTACACTCTGCTGCCCTCGTCCCTGCTAACCTGCTGGTGGGTGCACTGTGCTCAGAGAGGCACCTCACCCTGGCCGTGGCCACACAGCCCTGCAACCCCAGGTGCCTCCACCCTTCCTCCCACCTCCACTTGCCAAGATCATTGGTGCAATGGAAATGATTGTTTTGTGTCACCATCTTCTTCCTCCTGCCCCTAATTAAGTCTTGTCACTCGTGATGAGCCCATGCTGACGCCAAGAACTTCAATTCCCAGAGGAACCAAGTGGATCCCCAGAGGCGCCTGCCAAGATCCTGGCACTCCTCAGCTGCTGAGACATAGGGAGCAGTTTTCCACCGAGCGATGCATTATTCAGCGGAGCGTGGCCAGGAGCTGAGGCACAGGGCCCTAGTCCTTGCGGGTCCAGCACGCTCGCTGTTCCTGTCTGGCCACCATGGGCTCTGACTTCTACTCCTGTTGGGTCTTTTGGCAGGACGATGTCAAACCCCCCTCAGAAGATCTGCCTGGCATCAAGCCACCTCCTCCCCCACCACCATTGGCTCAAGATCACGACCACCGACTTGACCAAACACGGAAGCCAGGAAGGGAGGACCCTACACCTCTGTCTTCTGCTGGCCACTCAGGCACTGTCTTCTCAGCACCACAGAATCGAAGCCCACCACTGGGCCCTGCACCTACCCCAGGGCCCCCCTCAGCACAGGACTCGCCCTCCTCGCCCATTTATGCTTCCGTCTCCCATGCCCACCCCAGGTCTAGGAAGCCGCTGGACACCCACCTGGCCCTGGTTAACCAGCATCCCATCGGCCCCTTCCCTCGGGTCCAGTCCCCACCACACCTGAAGAGCCCTCCTGCAGAGACCCAAGGGGCCGGGGCCTGCCTTCCGTCACCATCGTCCTCTGATCACCCTGCCCCTGTGGGCGCAAACCAGCACTTTGTCTTGGTGGAGGTGCACCGTCCGGATAGCGAGCCTGACGTGAATGAAGTCCGGGCTCTGCCCCAGACACGCAGTGAGTATGGCTGCCCAGCTCTGTGGTGACTGGTAGGGCCAGGTGCTGCAGAAGGGTCTGCCCGCCTGAGGTCTGGCTCAAGGCCAGCATGAAGATGGCCTGAAGCCAAGACTTGGGTTTGAATCCCACTTCTGCCACTGACCAGTCATTTGCTGCAAACTACCCTGACTGAGTGAGGGACACCTTCCCCTGGTAATATGGAGTAGGTACAGGCCGGACTGTCACTGGGTGGGGTTTATGTGGGGGTGGAGTTAAGGGTCTCCTACCCCTTCTCCTGGCGCCCATTTCACAGCCTCCTCTGGAAGACTGTGCCCCTGACCAGTCTGGCAGAAAGAAGGTATGACGGTCCCGTCACTGGGCCTCTCGATGGTGTGGAGAAGTCAGTCCTGCACAGGGCCAGTCTAGGACCCCTGTTCTCTCAGGGGTGCCAGTGAGGGAGGATGTGGAGGAAGTCCTCCCTGGCTGTAGAGCAGTTAGCTAGGCTCTGCTGCCATCTTGTGGTTGAAGTGTTAAACGATGCCCACTAGGGAGCCTAGGAAAAGGGCAGGCAGGGGCAGGGCAGAGCAGGCCTAGAGCACAGATGGACACTGCGTCCCTGCCCTGAGGAACAACTGGCAAGCACACCTCTGTAGATATACTGGGCAGGGGATGGTGGAAGCTAGTAATGACTAGAGGCCTTGCTTGCACTTAGCTCCTGCAGCCCTGTGCCAGCCCTGTGCCAGCCCTGTTCTGTTAGTCTCCATTTCTCAGGGGAAGCTTGAGATGCAGTAGGCAGATGCACAGCAGAACCAGGCCGTGTGAGCAGGCTGCCCTTCAGTGCTTTTCCTGGTCTTTGTGATGACCCTAGGTGGGTATCGCTCTCCAGGGTTAGGACAAGGGCAGTGCACCCAGGCTTGCACAGCGACTCTTGGGGATTCAGACCCAACACACCAGGATCTACAGTGCACATTCTTAAGCAAGAGCCTCCAGCTCAGGGTCCAGTGACATACACAGAATGAAGCAGCTTAATTGGTTAGAGAATGGGATATGTTTGGCTACCACTCAGTTCACACCAGGGTGGTCACAGGAGGCGAGGTAAGGACAAGGTGGAAGACCCTCCATGTTTTTCTTGTGTAACTATAAGCTTTTTAAAAAACTCCTAATTTAAATATTTATCATTAAAAATCGACATTGTGTGAATTTAAACAGCAAAGCAACAGCCCACTTCTGTGAGCAGGGCTGGCCCATTAGCCTCTGTTTTCATCTGTATGCCGATGGTTGGGGTCTGGGCAGAAGTCCTAGATGTAGTGGCCATCAGGCCTGGCCCTGCTGGCAGATCAGGTGGTCAGGAGATGGGATTGGTTTCAGGGATTATCCCCTACCCTCCATCCCTTGTATCCCTTCATCTTTCCCTTTATCTTTGTATGGTGAGTTTCCATAGATACCACCCCCAGCCCCACCACCTTCCCCACTGTCCCTCCGTGACTGTTTCTGTCCCCTTGTCTGTCCCCAGCAGCCTCCACTCTCTCTCAGCTCTCAGACAGTGGGCAGACTCTAAGTGAGGACAGTGGTGTGGATGCTGGGGAGACAGAGGCCAGCACCTCAGGCCGAGGCAGACAGACAGCATCCACTAGGAGCAAGAATGGCAAGGAACTGCCCCGGACGGAGAGGACCACAGAGGGTGCCAATAAACCTGTGAGTGGGGGAGCACACACAGGATCCTGGTGGAGGATGGTTCTGGGAATCTGGAGACGCTTAGCGTGCGGCCCTTGGGGGCATTGCCGGAATGATCCGGAAAGGCCATAGTGCTAGATTCGGGAGTCCCTCTTTGCCCTGATCCCAGGCAGCAAGAGCTGGCAGCTCTTCTATACTCGAATATGGTATGGTAGCTCAGGCGGTCTGTGATGTCAGGCCTAAGATTCAAGTCTCTGCTACACCAGCAGTCTGGGCCAAGGACACCAGGTGCTTATCTTAGTCTGTGTCTTATTTGAGGCTCCACCTGTCCTCCACTGAGGAGTTCAAGGCCACCTTTTTCCCACCTGCAGCCTGGCCTCCTGGAGCCAACATCCACTCTAGTCCGTGTAAGGAAAAGTGCAGCCACACTGGGCATCGCCATTGAGGGTGGTGCCAACACACGCCAGCCTCTGCCCAGGATCGTCACAATTCAGGTATGTCCTCAAAGTGCCCCTGGTGTAGGTCTCCCTGTCTTAAAGAGCTCTTCCTTGGCACCCTTAGAAGCGGTGACCCAGAATCTCAAGACAGAGCCAGTGCCCCTCTGAGCAGGCTAGCAGGAACATGTCCTCCCACCCCCACTCCATCCTGGCCCAGAACTTGGGAAGTTGCCTCCTCTTGCTCTGCAGACCCCGGTTTTGCCAGGACTGTGGGCTCTAAGTTGGTAACATAGCCTCTTATCATAGCGGGCGTTCTTAGCAGGTGTCACAACCAGGTACCCACATGACCCCCACTTGTGTTTCCCTGTGCAGCGAGGAGGTTCTGCCCATAACTGTGGGCAGCTCAAGGTGGGCCACGTGATTCTGGAAGTGAACGGGCTGACACTTCGGGGTAAGGAACACAGAGAGGCGGCCCGCATCATCGCCGAGGCCTTCAAGACCAAGGAGAGAGACTACATTGACTTTCTGGTCACCGAGTTCAACGTGATGCTCTAGGGATGGAGCCAAGACCAGGACTGTAGAACAAGGTCACAGGCAGACTTTCCATCTCACCCTGACACACATACCCTGCCTGGTCCCCTGGTCAGACAAGGCAAACAGAGAGTCAGATCAGAATCTGTGCACCAGAAACACAGTAGGAGCTCAATAAAACTGGTAGGGAAGGAAGGTAGAGCCCCTTTTTCTGGGCTGGATGGGGGTGCTGCCACCCCTAGACGCCTAGGTCTTGGCTGTGAGGTCACAGGAGAGTTCACAGACTGCTTCCTGCCGGGGGACTTTCAGTGCCACAATGAGCCGCCAGCACGCCTGTTCACACCGGTCGCACCCCCTCCTCCTAGCTCAGTGTCCTTATGGTATTTATTCATCTATTTCCCTTCCTGCGCTTCAGGGGACTCCAAGCCCCAAATTCCCTTTGCACCCCCAGCCTATCCTGGAGGCCTTTCAGGCGACCAACAATGTCGGTGTATTTATATACAGAGCTTATGACTTTAATTTTTCAATAAAGCGATCTGAACAAGGCTGGGTCACATGTGATGTGATGTGCTATTGCCTTGTGTCACTGTAGGGAGACGGGAGGGATGGGGCACCTGGATTGTCATGCACTGTCAGCTGAATTTGAAACACCAGCTTAAGTAGTGTGAAGTTAACCTTTTTAAATCAGGGCACACAGGTATGCTCCTGGATAGAGTATGCTGTATGCAGAATGTTTAAAAACACACCTTGGGGCTGGTCAGTAAAGAAATGGCTATACAACCATGGAAGACATGAGTTCAATTCCCAGAACCAATATAAAAAGCCAGGCATGGTAGCCTACCTACATTTGCAATCCAAACACAGGGGAGGCCCAAACACAGTAATCCTGAGGCTCACTGATCAGCCAGCCTTGCTCCATCAGCGAGCATCAGGTCAGTGAGAGACCATGTCTCAGCTGAGGTCTCGGCTTCCACGTGAGAATGCACACATAGGCACATGCACACACCTGCACCCACACGAACACGCTTAGCAATACACTAGTACACACACGCACGCACACACGCACGCACACACACGCACACACACGAACACGTGAGAATGCACACATAGGCACAAGCATACACCTGCACCCACTCGAACACGCTTAGCAATACACTAGTACACACACGCACACACACGCATGCACACACACACGAACACGTGAGAATGCACACATAGGCACAAGCATACACCTGCACCCACTCGAACACACTTAGCAATACACTAGTACACACACGCCCACACACGCACACGACTGGCTATCTTGTGTACAGTCCAGGATGCCAACTCTAAAACTCAGATTGATAAGCAAGTGACTCATTAAGGGAGGACAAAGAGGACCACGGCACAGGGTACTGCCCAGAGGGCACCTTCAGCTTCATCACACAGTGTCCTGAGGTACAGAGAGACTGAGAGCTATTTAGAGAACTCACTCAGGGCCACAAGGCCACAGCCGGGTGGACTCCTGGGCTCTCCTACTCTTTCTCCTGACGGGGCCCATCTGCTCCAGCATCCAAAGGCAGTGGGGGTTAGAAGCAGCCACAGGGGAGAGGGTCAGCCAGGGAGGTGGCAAAACTTAGCTTGTCCTGTTGCCTGAGAACCATTCCAAGAGTCCTTTCCTCTTGTCATAATGATGTCTGGTGGAAGAGGTGTGGCAAGCCCTTCACCAAAAGGTCCAGGGATCTGTCTGAGGTAGGCGGGGGCCATCAGTCCCATGGTCTTGTACAAGATCCTGCTCTTGGGCTAGGAGTGAAGTTCATTGGTAAAGCGTTTGTATTGCAAAGTCCCGGGTTCTAAGTCTCTATTAATGATTTAGACTTAGATCTCAGTCCCCTCAAGGGTTCAGCCCCTCTCAGGGTTATGGCTGCTCCTTCCTTTCCCTATGAGGGAATGACCCCTGCCCAACTACAGAGGGCTTTGCCAGGCTTAGCTCCCCAGGAAGTGTGGCTGGTGCTCAGGGTCTCCACCTGTAAGATGTTCCAGGCAGATTCAACAGTGATCATATCCCCACACCTGAAGCCCAGAAATACACAATAAATGGTGACAAGTTCCGTGGCCACGTGGTGACAGCCACAGGCCCAGGGAGGCCCTGCCCGTGGGGTCTGTGTGGCCCCACCTCCTCCAGCCCGGGAGCTTGTGGTGTGTTTGCAATGGAGCTTCCAGGATGTCACTGGCTGCTCTTTGACCTGAAGGGCAGACACATTTTCCTGGCCCTAATTTACCAGCTCCCTACTTGGTCCAGCCCCTTGAGGAGAGAGTTCCATGAAAGAGTAGGGCAGGGATTAGTTCCTGGTGCTGTTGCTCCCAGAATTCCTGAGCCTGGCTCTGCTGAAAGGGTCTACTGGTATAGTCCTAAGTGGTTTTTACATCCCAAATTCCAAGAAAATTGCACTCACTCTTTTCTGCAGTACTGGAGACTGAACTCAAGGCGAGACAACTCTATGGCTGAGCTATATCCCTGGTTCTTTAGACTTTGTATTTTGAGACAGTCTTTTATAGCCCAGGCTTGTCTTGAACTTTTAATCCTGCTGCCTCAACCTCTCCAATACCTGCAGCCAGACCCGGTTTCCAGTGTAATTTAAACCTCCAAATTCTTTGGCAATGAACTTAGGAAGATCAAGTTCAGACCCTCAGCAGCCTGAGCCTCAGGACAGACATCCACACTAATGTTTTGGGGGGATTCAGTGTGGTGGGGGCTGGATGAGTCAAATGTCCACCTCAACTGTGTGCATCTGTTCCCCGACATCTTTCTTGTGGAAAAGATGGGGCGTGGGTAGCTGGAGAGTCTCAGAGCCCCTCGTCCCCACTGGGGAACCCTGACCAAGTCTCATCGCCCCTTCTGTTCAGGACCTTTGGAGAGGAGAGTTCCATGTTGCTCCGCTCCAGAGATGTAGTTCATGTTCAAACCAGAACGTTTTCTATTTTCTATTTCTGTCACTTGATAAATACCATGACCAAAAACTGCTTAGTGGGGAAAAGGACTCCATCTCCCAGGTTACAGTCCACCTAGGGAAGCCATGGCAGTAACTCAAGGCAGGATCCTGAGGCAGGAACCATTCTTACTGGCGTGCTCTGTACCACCAGGCTCACCTTCCTAGGGTGGTGCTGCCCACAGTGGGCTAGCCCTCCTACTTCAGTCATTAATGAAGACAGTCACAGGTCAGTCTGGGCCTAGCACAGGTTGAGTTTGGGTTCTTACGGTATGAGCCTGCCCAAAGGAGGGCCTGTAAATTGCCTGCAGCTCTCTGTGGAAGACAGGGGGTGAGAGGTGAGGTAGCTGGATGTAGGTGGCACAAAGACAGATTGTGAGTTTGCACTTCCTCAAATTCTGCCTGTTTTGCTCCCAGCTAGTGCTGTGGTTGCTGCTGTTGTCTGTGTGGGAGTGTCTGGCAGTAAGGCAATGGGGGAGCCATGTCCATGGGAAGACACGGGCAGTAGGGCTGTTGATAAATAAACTAATATCCTAGAGTGTCTGGAACCTGTGTCTGTTTGCACACCTCTGCACCCCCAGAAGTGACAGTGTTGAATTCGAAGTTTTGTTATTCTGCATTGGCAAGTAATAAGCAGAACTGGCCCAAGCCAGTCTGACACTCCACATCGCCATTGTTTGGAAGACATCACTTCTCCCTCGTCCCTCTCTGGCTCACATTTCCAAGCCTCCTTTCTGACCTCTGGGCCAGAAGACTGAAGTCAACCCCGCCTCCCTCACAGCAGCCCAACAGCACGCAATGAACACACGATTTATTACTACAGTTATGAAGCGGCAGATCTCCGTCCTCAAACTTGGTGACTTTCTCACGGTGTCTACGTAGACCCCCACAGACATCGTCCCCTCCCTGCCTCAGTTTCCCCTTCTGCGCCATGGCAGGCTCGCACAGGGAGTTGCAGACCAGCAGATCTGAGACTTCGGCCCAGATCTGGATCCATCCCGCCGACTGCCAAAGTCTGGGGTGGGGCGAAGCATCTCTACGATTGGTGGATCTCGCAGAAGCTCCGCCCCGGGGAGCCTGCCCTCTACCTTCTCGGGCGCTTTGCGGGCATTATGCAAAGCAGCCGCGCCCCGCCTCGCACGCGGATTGGAGGCCTTTGTCTGCCGCTCAACTCCAGGAAACCAGGGCGCGCAGTAGCAGCTGCAGGTGAGATCCAGAGGGGAGATCCAGGGGACTTGGAGCTCGGCCATCGGGGACTCAGTTTCCCCTTCGGGAGGATGGGGCCGGGAGGGAACAGCGCTACCGAACTGGGTCCTACTGGACCCGCGAGGTTTCGGATCTCTACGTGGGAGCTCCATGCGAGCGCGAGGGAACGGATCTTGGCTCCGGGAATCCGGAGCGCGAGGTCCCGGACCCAGACGCACCCCTGGGACGCCAGGACAACGGGATGCCCTAGTCTCGCCCTGTCGGCCTCAGTCTCCACCTCTGCACAGTGGGGGCGTAGGCTTCTGTCACCCAGCCCAAGCACCTCGGCCACCGGGCAGGGGTCCCTGGGGATAGGGGGTGGTCCTTGGCGGGGCTGCAGGCGGTGTTTGGGTAGGAGGCGTGGCCCTGTTGCTGGGTGACTAGGGAGGTGGGGCGCTGCTGTTCTGAGATTTGTGTGAGACTGGGTCACCAGGCAACAATTCCGCGGCCAGGAGCCTCGGAGCTTCGCGCAGTCCCTGGATGTCTAACGCAAGTTTTTTTTCCTCTTTATATCTCTTTATATTGTCGGGCGAGGTGAGGGGCAGCGAGAAGTGGGCTGTCTCCACAGTGGGAGGAACCGGGAGGAAGTGTCAAAATGGGGTCAGTCCCCTCTTGACACACTATAAGTGACTGAGGCACAGAGAGGTGGCGCGGCTATCCAAGGGCGCACAGCAGGGAGGCGCGAAGCAGGTCTCTGCCCTGTGGCGGGAGGGAGGCAGAGCCTACTTGCTGTGAAATCTTGGACGAGACCTCTGACGTTCCTTCCCTGGGCTTTAGTTGAAAGAAAGAACAGGATAAGAAAATCAAAAGCCCTTCTGCGTTTGAGAAAGTTGGAAAGGAAAGTTGCTGAAAACAAATGCGAGCTATTTTAGAGCCGAGAAGAGAGGCTGAGCCGGCTACAGTGAAAAGAGGCATTGTTTCTGCCTCTGAAACAGAATAAATAGGCTGAATCTGAAGCATAAAGGTTAAGGCTATATACACAGAGACTTCCCGAAGAGTTTCCCAGGTTCTTCTGGAGTTGTTGGGGTTGATGCTGGGCCGCCTTGTTGAGGTACTAGAGTAGCTGCGCTGGGTTAATCGGAGGGGTGGGGGGTGGGGGAGGGGTGTAAGTCTGTTTGACCTGCTGATGTGAGGAGCAGTCTGCCTACGTAGCAGGCAGTATTGGTTTGTCCCTTGGCTGTCCCCGTGTTCCACAGGAGGGACAAGTGCCCACGCGGGTATTTCCTCCCAGAGGCCAGCTGGTTTGCATCGAAACCATGTGATCATGGCTCTCTTGAGGGGGGATTTCATCAGCTCCCAGGGCAGGGCTTTCCAGAGGCCTGGGACTCTAC